GCTGCTTCTGTACTTACTGCTGCTGCTTCTGTACTTACTGCTCCTGCTTTTGTACTTACTGCTCCTGCTTTTGTGCTTACTGCTGCTCTTGTACTTACTGCTGCTGGTTCTGTATCTACTACTGCTTCTGTACTTACATGAGCAGTGCTTCTGTACTTACTGCCGCTGGCTCTGTACCTACTGCTCCAGCTTCTGTACTTACTGCTCCTGCTTCTGTACTTACTGCTGCTGCTTCTGTACTTACTGTTGCTGCTTCTGTACCTACTGCTGCTTCTGTACTTACTGCTCCTGCTTCTGTACTTACTGCTGCTGCTTCTGTACTTTACTTACTGCTGCTGCTTCTGTACTTGCTGCAGCTACTGTGCCTTACTGCTGCTACTATGCTTACTGTTCTGCGTGCTTACTGCTGCCGCTGCTGTACGTTGTGCTGCTGTACTTGTTTTGCCGCTGCTGCAGCAGAAGCTACTGCTGCTGCGGCTGCTGGTGTGTTAAGTGCTGCTGCTGCTGCTGCTGCTGCTGCTGCTGCTGCTGCACTCAAATGCAGAAAGACATATCCCCCTATGAACACTTAAGACCACCAGCAGTTAGTACGTGACACCCTTCTGCGGGTCTCTGAAAGCATTTTATCCTGCATGAATCTGACTGGGCGCTTGAATGGAGAAAAAGATTCTTCCATGAACGCTTGAATGCACAAACGCGTAACGCTCCATGAACGCTTGAATGCACGAACACGTTATGCTCCATGAACACTTGGATGTACAAACACGTATCCTTCCGTGAACGCCATCAGTTACGCTCTCTGGCTGAGCTTACGCCCTCCGTACTGACTACTGCTGCTGAGCTTGCTGCAGTCGCTGCTGTCATGACTGCTGCTGCTATACTTACTACTTATCTACCGTATTTAGTCCTGCTGATGTACTGCCGCTGCTGTAGTGGTCAAGGCTCCTGTACTCTCTGCTCCTGTATTTGCTGAACTTACGCCCCTGTCCTCATCGCTGCTGTGTTAACTGCCAGTGATTCGACTGCTCATTCACTTTAATCGTCTGTAATTTCCATGGGCAAACTACTACTGCTGCTTTCCAAAAAAGAGAGTAAAAGAAATGAGGGTGGTAGCCCCCGACATTGTTTCATTTGGATAGAGAGAGAGAGAGAGAGAGAGAGAGAGAGAGAGAGAGAGAGAGAGAGAGAGAGAGAGAGAGGACCCAAGGTGAAGAGTAATCCGATCTGATTCGGATTCCGATCAGGATTCGAACATATGACCTGTTTATTAACAGTTCCATATGTGTACGGTTCAGCTACATGCGCTAGGTACGGCCTTAACTGCTGCCGTACCTAAGGCTTCTGTACTTTCTGCTGCCGTATTTGCCAACTCAGCTTTATGCAAAAAATAGCTAAAGTGAGATTAACCAGTCGAAAAAAAAAATGAAAAAAAAAATGAGGCTATTGCATACATTCCGGGAGAAGGGCATAATTTACACAAGAGCAATCTATTATTAATTTATTATAGTTCGAGGCGGTAGAGAGTCAAACATTTGTCTCTTGTAAATTACAAAATAGTAAAAATGCCATTGTATTGGAGGAATGAAAAACTTCGAAGCAATTCGTAATCCACGTCGAGGCAGATCAAAATATGGTACCAAAAATTTGCAAAAAAAACAAAACTGAGTGCTGTCCTTATGTTATTATACCTACAACAACAACGGCATTCGCTGCTGCACCTTTTCTGTTTGATTTTTCTTTTTCCTCAAAAGAAGAAAGGGACAAGTCCCTAACATTATTGATTTGATCTGATTCATCAGGACTTGAACTCATAATCTGATCATCAACATTTATATGTGTGTGAACCATTCAGCCACTGGGCTGGGTCTTCACCTTTTCTGCAAACAGTTTGTCACAGGCTCACAGCCCCTCGTTTGTTGTCCTCTTCTCCCTCCCTCTCTGCCTAAGGTTTACCGGCCAGCTCTGTTTGACAATTTTTTTTTAATTATTTTTTTAATTTGACGATATTTATTTATATATACTTACAGGCTTCCACATTTATCATGGTTGGTGCTTTCTGCAGCTTTGTTTGGCGATACTGTGCGTAGCTGCCCGTCTTCTCCCGAATAGAACGTAGTGTAGTTATATCTACATACTAGATGACCCGTTGCAGCTTCGCTTGCAAGAAAACCAGGAAGGAATACCAACAAAGTTTTCTTTTTGTTTTATTCCGGTGGTTGGTTCACCTGTTATTTGCGTTTTTTTTCGATGGGAGGAACGTTTTTTCTCATGTGCTGTGTGCAGTAGCTCGCACAGTTGCAGTCCGATAACTCTGCACTTTCTGAGTGCAATGATGTCCTGTTGATCCGCTTGCTGCGCATTACAATTCCGTAACTGTTTGCTGTGTTTTCTAAGTATGTATATGATCAGCCGATGTTGTATGCATGTCGTG